ACAAGATCGGCAGGCAGACAACTGAACAAGGCTGATTGAGAGATAAAGAACTGACATTAGTTGCCGAATAGGTTTTGGGATCGATCGAACACATTTCTAAGCTGACACGGACTAAATTGGCTTTGAACAATCTCCTGTTTTCTTCATAATAAGTGAGTGTGATTAATAAGATGATATCCGAATAATTATAAAATGAAAATCGTTGGTCATATCAATTATGGTTTGCCTTAGTGTAATGCTAGTTGTGCTACACTGAACATGCCCATGAGGAACATGTAAGGGGTGGGAGGGTACAAACACTAGCGTCTTTTAATTCAGATATCGCGTTATCATGAAGCGTTCCAAATCGAGTGATTATTGAGCGCGATGGCATATCTGACGAAGAGCGGACAGACAGACAGACAGACAGACAGACAGACAGACAGACAGACAGACAGGCGGATGGACGGACAGACAGACAGACAGACAGACGGACGGACGGACAGAAGGACGGATGGACAGACGGATGGACGAACAGACGACGGTCGGAAGGACAGAAGGACGGACGGACTAACGGATGGACGGACGGACAGACGGTCGGAAGGACGGCCGGTCGGACGGACGGACGGACGGGTAGATGGATAGATGGCCGGATGAAATGCATCATTCTGTAAGGACGGGAGTGACTTTCCTGCACATCTCTTCTAACACACGTCAGTGCGGACCTGTTCGCCAAGATAATAATAAGGACTGGGAGAGCTTGCTATTGCTAATGAGGGTTTCTTATCTCATTTACCCTTAGAGTTGTGATTTTGATGGTGTTCCTGTCTTGTTTTGATGTAGATCATAGAGCATAGAGCATGTAGGAGGAGCATTTTAAAATCTAGGTGCATGATAAGTCGCAAAAGCAATGCATTTGACTTTCTCGCTACTTGAGCTTGATCTATGTGGCGCAAGTGTCGTTGAGCAAAGCCAATCGCGCTCTTTATCATTTTGGTGCGCAGTTGGCACTTTTTTTCTCAAACCCTGAAGATGGATTGCCTCATCAAATAAAGTTACCCAGCCACGACCTCATACATCTTTCTGCGTAGATGACTATATATTCGTGTATTTACGTCACTGAGCTGGGCTGTCGCATGTGGGTGAGTGAATGAATGTAGGTGAGCGAAGTACGTGCTCTCTAGTGACGTAACTTAGTTGACAGCAACATGAAAAACAAACAAACTAATTGGTACACCTTTCAGAGTTCCTGGACACAACTAAAAAACTGTCTGATATTTCATTGCTGCGCTGGTTTCTCTAAGGAATGCATTGATAAGTTTCCACATTACCAGTATGACACTGTGTGCTGAACCCTGACGATAAACTTATTTATCAATCTCTCCAAACCTTATCTAAAACTAAGAAGCGTGAAGTTTCTGCTACATTCAGAGGGGCATCATCATATGTCCTGCAATGTTTAATCGTCACGCTCCTGTACTCTGAACACACTGAAAGATGGCTGCAAATGACTGTAAGCTCATAGAAGAAAGCTAGCGGCCGGCGGAGAGATTTAACTTCGTTAGCAAAGCGCCGTTACGGCTGGTAGCTGAGAGGACAGACCAAAGGAAGTGGCAAATTATCCACAGCTGTACCCGGATAAGTGCCGTTTCCGCCCCACTCAATGATAGGAATAAATCCCGTCTTGGCTAATCAGCCTGTCTGAAGCTCATTTAGCGGCAAAATGACTTCCTCAGGGGCTGGATATTACTTGAATGTAGGTGTGGACTGTAGACATTTATTTCATGCAGCCCCTAACTGAATTTCAGGTTTCAATAAACTGGATAAATTATCCCTCTGATTAGCTTCTCTGTTTTATTGTTACTAAACGAAGTGAAGCTATTTTCTTTTTACATTGATTGGAGGCGCAGACCTTCATAACTTCTTTAAAGTTATTTAATCTATTTCATACGCCTACCAAAATAGTCTGATGTCGATCCAGTTTTGATGGTTGGGTTTCTACCCAGTGCATGCTATTTGGAGGTCAAGGAACGTTATAATGACGGGTGGGCCGAGCATGTCTTGTGACCATAGTTGTTGTGATTCGACGGGCGACCGAATCGAAACACACATTTGAGCCACCGACTCGAGGGCCCTCAATCTATAGATAGCGAAAAAAGAGAGAAAAAGCGCCGTTGATTTCAGGGATATACGGGTCATTATTAGATCATCTGGCAGTGATGCTGAGCTGTTCGGTGCGTGTGTGACAGTCAGCGCACCTATCACTCGATACTTTCACATCCAGTATGCATTGGAAGTACATGGAAGTCACAGCGAAAGACACTAACTGCCCCCCACCCCCACCCGTTGTAATAATTCCTTTGGTGAAACACTATAGCTCAATTGCCGCCTTTCGGCATCACAGACTGCACTGTAACAGGCGCAACTGCAGCTGTTGCAGCTGCTCAGCTATTTTTCTCAGTGAGAGGAGCGTGAGGGCGAGCACCCATCCCTCCACAGCATCCTCACGTGGACGAGCGGCAATGATGGGCCGTTTCTCGGCCGGGGCAGGGCGGATGAGAAGGCAATTAATGATGAGCCAGCTTCATGACGTCATCACAAAAGAATCCGACTGACTCATGTCCCCTGTTACGCGATACCGATTATATACGTAGAATTATACACGGCACGGCCCATTCAGAGACGCAAGAATTCCCGGTGCGTCCTATAGGACCGTATCCGACCCACAGTAATTGCGTCATTAGTCCCGTAATAGTCCAATCAGACTCGAGCGGCCCCGCATTTTCCATGTCGCACTTCGTAGCACCTGGCTAACTACCAGCTTCTGCCGGCAGCGTAATTTCTGCAACGTAAACGTCACCAAAGAGTATTTCACTACAAGCGCTCTAGTGATTCATTTCCCACACCGCACCGCGGACGGTGTATCACACAGCGGCAGAATGACCCGCAGGCTACCACTACTCGGTAAACCAGACATCTGCAATGCACCGGCTTCCCTGAAGCGAGCTAACAAAGCAGAGCGAAATCAATAACGCGTTCTCTAATAACTGGGCAGCAGATATCATCGTTATGCCTCGTTGCGCGCGGCAGCCGGTATTTATCCGGCAATTATCCTGTTTTCTGTATGCACAAACAGCAGCAGACTCTCAGACAATGTGCCAGCCTGTCGATGATGTGCCGGTGGCAGGCGGCGGCAGAGGGGGGCTCTATGACGAGGGGGGGTCGGCAGGCCGTTGCCGGCAGGGGCTGTGCCGTTAATTGGCGGCCCGTGAGGGTGCACGAGCCTGTAATCACGCGAGAGGTGCGTCACTTCCTGTCTGTGGCCCAGAGGTACCGGTGAGGTCAGGGGTCCCGAGTCCCGCCGGGATGGGGAGATGGGGTGCTCAGACGCTACCCGACTTAGCTCATGTGCTTATGTAGCTATTTCACCACATAGCTGGGCGGTGGGTAAGGGGTATCGCCATTTTAGCTGGTTGGAAGGGGCTGCGTAGATGTAGTTTGTGCGCTTAGGTTGCATTTGAGACAGGCAATAGGCAGCCGGCAGCAGCGGCGGGCATTTGACAGTCATGAGGCGGAATGCGGTGGCAGCTGAGGCGGGCAGTTAGGCGGCTGGCGGCAGCTGCGGCAGGCACTCGAAGGCGGGCTGACAGAAGCTCCAAAGTGCAAGCCGTCTGCCCGTGTCCGAGGCTGTCTGGAATACCAGCGCTGCCGGACGCGTCTGAGCCGGCCTCCTGTTGGTTTTTCATGGCCACATGGCACGAATGGCACGTGAACAGGCTCGTGCAGTCTGCAGGGACATTGTAAGCCGCACCTGCGCTCAGAGGGGGTCTGGCTCCGGCTGCACGATTGATGCGCGGAAATGTAGCTGCTTGCATAGGTAAACATGTGCTAAGTGAAAAGTGTGATTGCTGTGAGTGGACGTTTGCATGTGGAGTGCCTGAAGGGCGTGCAACGCGATATCCCTTTGCTCGAAGAATACAATGAAACATACAAGCCTTTCGGGTTTCGAATGCTGCGTTTTATGCTGGCAATCGCCTTCCATGTAATTCGTAACGTTACAAGTACTGATATAACAGCTATCACATCCAGCCCTCAACGCCACCACGGGCCTCTACAACAGAAACATATAATGCAAAAAGAGCAAAAAAGGAAAAGTCATACCATCCAAAAATACGGTTAACTTGAAACATTACAGCGGCCACAGGCTGCTTCTTGAAATCTCTAATTCAAAGCGTATATCAAATTCCGTTTTATTACGTTGATCTGTCCTGTAATACTCGTATTGATGGCGTCGGACTGAGGCTGCCTTTTTAGTTTCCGTTCACTGGTCCCCGCACTCCCCGAGTCGTTCGGTTTAGTGAAGCCAAGCTCTCAGGCGCAGAGACCTTTTAGCCTCTCTATTAGGCCTCTCGGATGGATGAGACCGCGCAGCCCATTGTAAAACCATCCGAAATCACTTTACCGCGCAGAACCGCGGGTCTCGCGGTCTGGTAATGGCTGACCAATGCCAATCTCATGGAACATCACTCTGATGGTGGCATAAAAAGGCTTGAGTGGAGGAGAGGCAAATTAACTCAAACACTAGATGGAGAGAATAGATAAGGAACAAGACGACGCTTTGGAGATGCAGTCATCAGTTTCTTAGTAATCTGAAGACAATTCCAATATTACAGCAATTCCTTTGATATGGCCTGCCGATTATGAAACAATGCGGCAAAATATTTTCGGTGAACGACTATTTGATTGTATGTTGTTTGTCAGTTTACTTCCGACAACAACCTCTTGTAGATTCAGCTGAGGTCTGGCACATTGACTCCATATCGGGAATGCCCTTGGAGTGGACCACTGTGTAGTACACCGTCCGGTGACCACTGTGGAATGCTATTGCAAACTTTACTCGTTGCAAGTGGCCGTGGTGCAGACGGTGACGTGCGTCGTGCACCCGTCTTACGATCCAGGTGGCGCCACCTGCCGCCGTCAGCGGCGGCTCAGACCGGTCGTTCGCCGGCGCCGTCAGTCAGCTGTGGCCGGCGGCCGGTGAAGGAGCGGGTCACGCGCCGTGGCCGTGTCACCTGTGTGAGTGCGTGTCCGCGTGCGATGTCCGCCTGAAAGCAGCAGAGGCGGCCTGCTGCTGCGCGATGCGCCCGCGGGTGGCCGTGGTGCGGTGGCGAGCGCTGCTGGCCGCCGCGGCGGTGATGACGCTCCGGTGCGCCGCCGATGTCTGTGAGGAACCGGCTGAGGGCGAGGTGGTGTGCTCTGTGGCAAATCTGGACTCGGGATTGGTGAACGCGTCACGACCGGCGGCTGTGAGGCGGCTGGAGCTGCGGTGCAGCGACAGAGCGCACCTGCACGACGCCACGGAGCTGGCGCTGCTGCGGCACCTGCCGGCGCTCGAGTCGCTCGCCCTGCGGGACTGTCAGTTCAGTGAGCTGCGGCGCAGCACGCTGAGGCATGTGGCCGGTCTGAGAGAGCTCAGTGTGAGGACGTTTCAGTCCGAGTGGCTGTCAGACGAGCTGAAACTGGCGGCGGATTGTTTTGAGGACATGCAGGAGCTCGAGACTCTGGACATCAGTGGGAACAACATGTGGTCACTGCAGCCCGGGCTGCTGCAGAAGCTGCCACTGCTGAAAGTTCTCAACGTGTCTGGCAACCACCTGCAGCAGATGTCTGCTCTGAAAGAGACCGGCGTCGGCCCTGGTTTGCAGGTGCTGGACATCTCCAACAACGGTCTCACTGAGGTCGGGACGTCCGACTTCCACGAGTTCGTCAACCTGAAGGAGCTGTCGCTCAGCTCCAACTCGCTGTCCGTGCTTCAAGACGGCTGGCTGACTGGTCTGAGCCGGCTGGAACGGTTGGATATCTCCCAAAACCAGCTCACGACCCTGCCGGCGCTGATGCTGAACGAGACGAAGGCGCTGAAGGCAGTGATGGTTCAGGGAAACAACATCACTGTCCTTCCGCCGGGTCTGCTGGCCGATCTGCCGCAACTGCAAACCGTCAACATGTCCGGAAACAGTCTAAGCGCGCAATGGATCAGGAAGGACACCTTTGCTGGCCTGCTTCGTCTGATCGTGTTGGACCTCTCGAGGAATGTATTGGACTCTTTGAGCCCAGATGTGTTTGAAGACCTCTCCAGTCTGCAGGTCCTGGATCTCAGCAACAACCAGTTGGAGACAATGCCTGCGGGTTTGTTCACATCGCTGAGCAATCTGCACACATTGACATTGTCCGGCAACAGCCTGAGTCGCCTGGAACCGGGCTTCCTGGCTGGTCTGCACGTACTGAGCCGGCTCAGCCTCGATAACAACCGACTGGCTTCAGTTGATGACGATGTGTTTGCCAACATTACCAGCATTCAGAACCTCCGCATGCAGAAGAATGAACTGACTTCCATCCCAAGCTCTCTGCGCCGCCTGACAAATCTTCAAGAGCTAAACGTGGCAGAAAATAATATATCTGACGACACTCATGGTGTGCTACAAGCTCTTCCACATCTGGGGCTGTTGAACTTGGCTGGAAACAAGCTCAGAAACGTATCGGTGGAATTCCTGGCCAACCTGACCGACGTATCAATGCTTGACCTGTCAAGAAACGAAATTGAAAACGTTGACAGTGGAGCTTTCGACAAGGCCACCAATCTGATGGCAGTCCGTCTGGACGCCAACAAGCTCCGCAATATCAACGGCCTATTTGCCAAACTGCCGTCGCTGCTGTGGCTGAACGTGTCCGACAATCAGATCGAGTTCTTCGACTATGCCCTCATCCCGGGAGAACTGCGGTGGCTGGACATGCACAAGAACCAGGTGCGAGAGATCGGCAACTTTTACAACATCGAGTCCGTCATCCGTTTGGAGACTCTGGACATCAGCCACAACCAGGTCTCGCTCATCGGTAGCTCGTCCGTTCCTGATAGCATCAAGTACTTCATCATCGCCAGCAACCAGCTGACCACCGTAGAGCCGGGAACGTTCGAGAACAAGCGACAGCTGATCCGTGCCGACCTCTCGTCCAACCAGCTCAGCGAACTGGCACAGGACGCTGTGACTCTGCCGAGAGACGACGATGAGGGTTCTGTCACAGTGAACACTGCGCCAGACGATGCGGAAGGATCGACAAAGCATGCTGAGCTTCTGCTGGCCGGCAACCCCTTCGTCTGCAACTGCCACATGGATTGGCTTTTGGCCAAAAATGCGACATCCAGCAAACGCTACCCAAAGGTAAGATACATACATTCCTATCATGTCCGACGTTTAAATTGCCCCTCTCAATTGTTGGAACATCATATTCCATGCGTGAGAGATTGTGTTTGTGCTCCTTGCCGTTTGATGCATGAAATTATTGATGGGGTGGTTTACGATTGATGGGAGCAGACGTGACCATTATAAGTCAATATGTTGGATGAATCGCCTGTGGCTCTGGGGCACCCTGAAATTTAGCTTCTGCGAATTTTCGGACTATCCGTAGTTTCCCAATTGGTCAAGACCTGTACAAGAAGCTCTACCTTGGTGGCTTTTGGCTGTCATTGCTTTTCTGCAAATGCTTGGTTAAATTTTACGAGTATATAAAGGTGTCTGAAATCCGTTCCAATTAATGTACATATTCAATGACTAACCGCCCACTGGAACGGCTGGTTATGATATTAATCCCAAGGGACTTTAGAGCTTGATATTACCCGTAACGGTGAATGGCGATTCCTTCGGTTGTCTGGCGGTATGGCAGGCCTGATAAGGTCAACATGCAGTATACATATACCTACCTTCCTAGCCTACCTAGCCATAAGGCGCCAATTTCCAGCATAGTGACGTCTAGGAATCTAAATGAATCACCCGTTCTGAGGAATATTGACGCACTGCATAAATTATGGCTTCAGTAGCTTTCTGTCGGAGTTTTACGTTGTATAGTGTAGCATCCACGCCAGTATGTAGTGCGAAGGGTAACATGTCAATGTCATGCTAGTGCATTGAACACCGAACGCAACTTATGGACAAATTTGCCGTTGGGTTCATCGATTTGACATTCAACTGGAATGTTACACAGTACACACTGTGCTAACGTCATTTTACTTTAGCTGAAAATAACAGTAGACCTTGGTGCACCACCATCGCTCTATCTTCAACAATCAACATGAATCACTGGATTTTTGGCATTCCATCAGAGCCGACGCTTTCTCAATCCGGTTTTGTGGACACGTGATCCGCCTGCGATGTTGAATGGTGTATCATAAAACGAGTACCTATATAAGTAGCGTTAAATAGTGGCAGCAGGACAGTGTTGTTCACGTTCAGTGTGATTTTCGGTTATATTCGAGAGAAAAAAATTCCAGGAGTGTGCCTATAGAGTCTCGGGTGAAATGGCGTCTTGGAAAAGCGACGCTTCAACGTCATTTATGCTTTAGATGACACAATACAAACATAGCATATACATTGCGAGATCGTCCTCCCCAACCACTTGCGCCATCATGCAAAACAGGGAGACAGGTCTTTATTCAAAACGTCATGTGCCAAAAATCGCACGATCTGCTTCTAGCTTTGTAACGCAGCGCAGTCACCATCACAGGCCGCAGACGACCACGCGGACTGCGGCTATCGGTCACGTTTCGAGTTTCGACTGCGGAGCACGATGGTCCTCGCTGGTGTGGGGCCCGTCAAGGACATCTCCAAATCTCGCGCATGACGCGTCCTTTATTTCGTCTTTTATGTGCTCGAAGTCGTTGCTGGCCGGGCGAGCTGTGACCTGTAACGGCTTTCGATAGTGCATTGCAGCATTGATAGATTCCAGCTGTTAAGACCAGCTGATCTGGTACCGATACTTAAATTTATGATAGGCATATTGAATTCAGACTTAGCCTTTCGAAAAAAACTGCAATGCAGCATTCCTAGCTAGTGTAGAGGTTAACGCAATCGCGTGGAAAGCAGGCCGAGACATTGGATCAGCTATTTATGTGGGCCGGCTATTAGCCAAAACCTAAAGTAACTCATCAGCGCAAAAACAAATACATTGTGCTCCATCGAAAATGGCGCCTCACTGATTGATGCATTGCAGAGCGGATTTGTCGGTCGGAGGCTGCTGCCGTGCTGCTCAGTTCGTTAACACGCGCACTGCAGGGGGGGGGTTGTTTTCAACCCCCCCCCTGTGGTTTTTCGCAAATTGCGAGAAAACGGCGGCGCGTAGCGCCGCCAAATTTTGTATACCTGTTCTCACAACTTTTGCACACCTTGAGCAAAAATTTTGACCCCAGGTGACCTATGGTCAGGTCACCAGGTCAGGTCAAGTGACCCTACCTCGAAACGTAAATTTCGAAGTTTGCAATCCCACCAAGCCCACAGTTGTTGAGATATGATCTTAAAACCCACAGGAAATAGTAAAGTCATCACGAGCTACAACTTGTATATCTCGGAATTTTTATATCGATGACCTAAGGTCAGGTCATTTTTGCGACCGGCCCATTATAAGTCAATGGGAGAAATTTCAACTTACTCTGAATGCCATCCTATGACTTCAATACGCTCAGGATCATAGTATTACAGGTCCCTGTTGGTGATTTCACCGAAACATATCACTTATGACCTTTGGAAGGTGATCTCCAGGTCATCTTAGGTCACCTGAGGTCACCAGCGGTTTTTCTTCAATAACTTGAGATTGAGTAGAGATAGAGACTCCGTTCGACGTTTATCGTGTTTTTCTCGTCAATGCGGATCGAATTGACCTATTTCGGTCAGGTCATGACCTTGACCTGAGGTCAAATTTTCAACTTGACCTTTCGAGGTCATATTATATATCATTCGATGCGCCTTGACGAGCTAAGAACGATGGCGTTCGAATCGATCCTCTGTCTTGTGTGCAAGACAAGTTATTCAAGAAAAACTACCGCGAAATTCCTGTTGTGAAAATCGTAACATTTTGTCTTCGGTGACCTCTGGTGACCTCGTTTTTGACCTGACCCAAAAATGATCTTAGTATTTCTTGTCGATCTCATGAGATCGACAAGAAGATATCTTAAGATATCTTAAGATATCTTAAGATATCTTAACCTATCCAACGCCGTTTACCGCTTGTCGCTACGTTGCGCCGTTTTCGAGATCTCAGGGGGGGTTGTTTTCAACCCCCCCCCCCTGCAGTTTGTGTTCGGCTCAGACCCGCTGCAGTGCGCGTGTTAAAACACACGCAACTCGGCTCCCTCGCACCGCTCTCCGGCCGTGTCGAAACACCGGCGACTTTTTCGGCGCGGCATCGATAAGGCCGCTGTCGGTATCCCAGTTAATCGGTTTAGGTTTTTATGTCGTGTTTTACGGAGCACCGTCGGGGTCTGACGTTCGTCAGTGGCGGCTGTCTTTTTACGGCACCTGCATCGGCTTTCTGCCAGAGGAGCGAGCCCTTCAGTCTCCTTCGAGATTGAACTCATTTACATTTATTTTGCATCACACAGTATCGATTAGGGGCCCGCCTTAAAAGGTTCACACTTCTAACGATCATAAAAAGAGCGGGATGTATTTTATGGCGTGCTTTCCCAGCGCATTGGCTGTGTCGTATATTTGATGGTATACCAGGGATGTCCACTAATAAGACGATTTTTTTTCTTTTGGCAGGTTCTGGACGGAGATCGGGTCATGTGTCGGCTGCTGCACTCTCCGAACCACCTCACCCCGCTCCAGAACACCAAGCCGTCCGACTTCCTCTGCGACTACGAGCGCCACTGCTTCGCCCTCTGCCATTGCTGCAACTACGTGGCCTGCGACTGCGAGATGAAGTGCCCTAGCGGGTGCACGTGCTACCACGACCCCACGTGGAATACCAACATCGTAGACTGCAGCCGCAAAGAGCAGGTGGTGATCTCACGCGAAATCCCAATGGACGCCACGGCTGTGTTCGCAGACGGCAACAACATCCGCAGCCTTGACAGCCACACCTTCATCGGCAGAAAACGCATCAAGGTGCTGCATGTCAACGGTTCCAATGTCGAAGAGATCCAGAATCGTAGCCTAAACGGTCTCTCTGCACTTCAAGTTCTTCGCTTGGAGAACAACCAGCTCACCACATTCCGCGGCTTCGAGTTTGACGGTCTCCAGTCTCTTCGTGAGCTCTACCTTCACAGCAATCGCCTGCGGGTGATCCATCAGAGTACCTTCTCCCGGTTGGCGGCGCTGGAGGTGCTCACCCTGCACGACAACCAGCTGGCGAGCTTCCCTGTCTGGCAGCTGGTCAACCCATACCTGGTACACATCTCCCTCGCTGACAACCAGTGGTCCTGCGCCTGTGTGCCTGCCGCAAAGCTCGCGGCCTTCCTGGCGGAGCGAGGCGACAAGGTGATCGACGCGGACACTGTGAGGTGCTCGGAGGGGGACCGGCCAGACCTGTGTGGAGACGGAGACCCACCGCCGCCAGTGGTGCAACATGACGGCTCTGGTGGTGTTCTGCCTGCCGCGATAGTCTCCGCTGCTGTGCTGGCCGTGGCGGCGCTGGTCGCGGTGCTGGTGTTCAGGTTCCGAGCGCGACTATGTCGTGGTAAGGTCCCTCCCGCGGCGCCGCCATCGGTGGCTGGAAGCCGAGGCTTCGCTGGTGGCCACTACAGCGTGGCAGTGGTGACGCCGGAGGTGGAAAAGCTGTACGATGCGTTCGTCACGTACAGTGCCCAGGACACGCGCTTCGTGAACGAGGTATTAGCTCCGGAGCTGGAGCAGGCGACGCCGGCACTGCGACTGTGTCTGCTGCGCCGTGACGCACCCAACACCAGCTACCTGGGTGACGCCGTGCACCACTGCGTGCAGGCCTCGCGCAAGACGCTGCTCGTCATCTCGAGGAACTTTCTCGACAACGAGTGGTGCCGGTTCGACTTCAAGGCGTCACACCTGGACGCTCTGCGGACTTCTCGTGGAATCGTGGTGCTTCTATACGGTGTAGATCGCAGTGCCGTTGAAGGCGAGCTAAAAACCCTCCTCAAGGGCGCCGCTTGGGTGAGTTTCGGTGACCTAGAACCGTGGCGAAAGGTGAGGGACCTCATCCCGTCGCGTCAAGCGTTCTTGCCGTTTTCGTACGGCAAGCAGACGCCCCTGCGGTCGTCACATCGTCTGCGGGCAAACGACCTGCCGATGGCGCTACCCGATGGCGACTCTCCATCGCCGACGTGTTCCACGGGCATGTCAGATGGGGAGTCTGACGCCTCGGGCCGTCTGAGGCTGGACCCGTCCCGCCTGCCGACGGGGAGGGACAGCATGCAGCAGAGCGAGCACCCGTACGACGTCATCGATGAGTACGGCGCTGCTTCAGGTGTGAGGGCTGACAGTGAGCTGTACTGCCACGCTGTGGAACCGGGAACCCAGATGCAGAGGCCGCTTGGCCTGGAACGTCTGGGACACGTAGGACCCGGGGGGCGTTTGGGTCCTCAGGGCCATCTGGGACCTCCACCGTACCCGTCCGCGCCCCCGTGTCATTCCGTTGAGCCGGTCCACCGTCACTATCCGTCCGACCCGTCCCATCCTCAGCACCATGGTCCCCAAGCGCAGTTTCCCAGCCGTGCCGGCGTGGTACACCAGCACTATCCCTCTGATCCCAGTCACCACCAGAACAGGTCATTGTCGCATTCACTATGGGTGTGAAACAGGCTTCAGCGTTGGGCTGTATGCTACAGCTCTGGATGAGGTCAGTGCATTGTCTGAGCCTAAGGTCGTTCAAAACGATTGCAATGTTGTCGTTTTGGGGGCGGGTTGTCCTCTCATGTGTCACGTTGACTTTTTAATTGTGTCAGACTGGCGGATTGGTGGTGTTCCAACTTCGATGCTTTCACTGGCAATGCTGTTGCCTGAATGGTATGGTTGCTTAACAAAGAAGTCAATTGAATGCAATGAGCACTAGGGTGTCGTATCGTGTAAATAAGTCATTTATAAGTGTTTCATAATGTGTATGCTATACTTGTGATATATTTACCAATGCTGCATGTGATCATGTGAAAATGTGATACAATATATGCAAACGAAGCTTCTTTTTTGCGTTTGCTAGCTTCATAACAATGCTAAAACACAAGAGTTTTCGTTAGCATGCGCTCATTACAATCCTCAAAAGGTAGGTATGCCTAACTCTTTTATGATTAGCGTGCACTCCGTTGTTTGAGTCGATATTCATGTATAGGCGGTGTGCCGCGCAGCAATCCGGCGGCTCTACGCCGGTTGCGGGAAAATCAGGTCATGTGACTCAGGTCATGTGACTCCCGCGGGTCGGGAGCCACCAATCGCTGCGCGCCACGATTGGCCGGCGGGTCGGCCGTCCGGGCCGCGCGGCGGCGACCCCGCCATTCGTGCACTGGTTCTGTGTGGTTCGTGACGTGTGCGTCTGCGTGAACGGTAAGATTTGCTTTTTTGTTACTATGAATTGTTGTAAACCCTCATTTGTTGTTAACTTTGCTTTGCTTAGTGGTTATTTTTATCGTTGTCTGCAGTTGTGCGTTGTTAAGTTAATTTTAATCTGTTGCAGGACGCGGGCTAGTCTGTAGGGCTAGTCTGTGGAGCTAATAGCAAGTTGATAGCGGAGCTTATGTCTGAGATTTGATATTTGAACTCCGCACCACAATATAAACTTGAAAGCATCAGCACCGTGTCGTGGATGGGAGGCAGCAATCGTGACGCAGAGCTCGGCACCCCGGCCCTACATCTGGTGGCAGCGGTGTGCGTTCTCCTTCGCACCCACGTGGCCGAGTCTGAGCTGCGTCTTGCTGCCCTCCACTCGGGTGCTCGCTTGTTGGCACGTGGTACGTGGATCATGGAGCATCGCTTCCTGTTCGGCTGCCTGCATCCGGCTGTGGCGTGCGCGGGCGCTGATTGCGGGCCCCGCTGAGCGGCTCGCTATTCGGGCCTGTGTCGAGGCTCCGGTGCGGCACAGCTGACTGCGCCTGGCGCGCGGGCGGCCTCCCCGCTGGGACCCGCGGCGAGGCTACGGACTGGACCCAGCTGCCTCGGCCGGGCGGGCGACCGGGCGTCTGGGCCCCGAGGGCCGGTCGGTGATTCGGTGCTGTGATTGGCGGACGGTCGGACGGGCGGACGGCCGGCCGTGCGGACGGTTGGTGGGCGCGGCGAGCGCCTACCGGTACCGCGTGGGGAGCGGCTCTGCGCGGCGGACCAGCTGACCAGCTGACGCGGCTGGGGGGCTGCCAACTGTCTCCGTGACCTGACGCGTGCGTACGTGGCGCACGGGTGGAGCGAGAGTTATGGACTTCATGGGGTGAGTGTTGAACTGTGTTACCTTGTATCATTGTTACTGTATATTGTACTTTCTTTGTGCGTACGTTACTTTAATTCGTTTTGGGGTCCTCAAACATTTGTGACTTTAACTGACTTCTGTGCAACGTTCGTTGTTTAGTTAGATGATTGTGAAAATTTGGTTTTTTTCTATCGATTTTCGAGATTAGGCGCCTGGAGTTAGGATTTCACTGTGCCTCTGGGACAGAAATTACCTGCCTGAGTATTTGGTCTCTGATCTCTCGAATCCGTTGCTAATTTACCTGCAATCGTCCCGTTCACGTTATTACCATTTAACATGGCTCATCAGACTTTGGTTACACTGGGATTACCGTCATTTGGGGGTAACACTGGTTCAGTTTCTAGGTTTATTTCTGACTTTACGACGTACGCGGCTTTTCAAAACTGGGATAACGCTAAGCAGGCTAGCCTACTCCCTTTGTGCCTTACCGGTATCGCTCGTGATGCGTATGATTGTCTCCCGGAGGCATCCAAAAAGTCGATTACTTTGGCTTTTGGTGGTCTCCGACAGGCCTTCCCTTCCCATGGCGTGATCGAGGCTCAGGTGCAGCTGAGGGGCTTGAGGTTTGACCCAAGGTCTGACCTGGATGCATTTGTCATCCGACTGAGGGGACTTGTTTGCGCTGCGTTCCCGGACAGTGAGGCTGATTGTCTGCTGTTCAACTACTTTATGCAGGCGCTACCCATGCAGTATCAGTCCCGTTTGATTTCTGACGGCATTGCGTCGTTTGATACCGCACTGGTCGCAGTCCGCAACATGTGTTGCGCGGCACGGCTGAACGTGAGTCAGCCTGCGCCGGTCCGGCAGGTCCAGTCTGAGAGCGACGTGCTCCGTCAGAGGGTCGAGGAGTTGGAGAAGGAGTTAGCTCGTCTGAAGGGAACCGGAGGTTCCAAGGCTACCGGCTGTTTCTGTTTTTGTTGTGGTGGTGAGGGCCATGTCCGTAGGAACTGTCGTAATAGGAACTCTGTCTGCTATCTCTGCGGCATCAAGGGTCACTTGGCTCGAGTCTGTGGACTTAGGGCTCCGGAAAACACGAGTGGGGCCGCCGGTTCCGCCCCACCGGGTCGGGCCCCGTACCCGCAGAGGGGGGCCAGGGGTGCTCCGGCATCAGGCAGCGCTCAGTGGCCGCCGCCGGTACCGCTGCAGGCGGACGCAGCTCTGCATCCACCGGGGATGGGTCCCTCGATGCATCAGCCGCGGTTCGTACGGCCGAATCCGGCTCCGGACTCGACGGGTCAACCGAGGACGTCGACCGCGTCGTCCTGCTGAGGCGTGATATGACTTTCGATGGCGTGGTGGGCGGTGTTCGGTGCTCCCTGCTACTTGACACCGGTAGCAGTATTAACTTGCTCAGTAAGTCTGTCTTTGATGTTTTGCCGAATCGTCCTCCACTGATGAAGACGTCTGCTGTGGCGAGCACAGCCACACAGGATCCTCTGCCGCTGCTGGGGAGGGTAAAGGTGTCTCTGAAGTTGGGAGGTCAGACCACAGTTGTGCCTTTCTTTGTTTCAGAGTGTATTGATGTGCCTGTCATGTTAGGTTTAGAGTTTTTGGCTGCGTGCCCATGCGTAATTGACATGTCTGCTGGCCAACTGGTTCTGACGCCATCGCGAGCGGTTCGTTCAGTTTCAGCTTCCGTCATTTCTGTGGGACGGGTGATTCTCCAGAATGACCTGTCTGTTCCTCCGGGACATGAGTTAGTTTTCTCTGGTTTTGTCCCGAATTCAGACTACCGTGGCCCGGCTATGATGGAGCCGTGCGCTGATATTGAGGGCCTTGAGTTTGTCCCCTCAATTGTGTCTGTATCTGGTCAGTCGGTTCCGTGTGTGGTTAGAAATGTGACGACCCAGCCGGTGACGATTCCAAAGCGTTCAGAGGTCGGCCGGCTGGAGGTCGGTATCGCAGAGTGTCCGCTGTCGGGCGATCAGACCGCTGAGCGGGATTGGCGTGATCGGCTCGACCTGTCCGGTAGTGATCTTTCTGACCAACAGCGTACCGCGCTCACTTCTCTGCTCGCTCGGTACGAGGATATGCTTGATGGTCGCCTTGGATACACGTCTCTCGTCCAGCATCACATAGACACAGGAGACGCCCCTCCTGTCAGGTGTGCTGCTCGTCGGGTTCCCCCTTTCCTCCAGGAGAAGGTAAAGACTGAGCTCGATCGTATGGTTGAGGCTGGTATTCTCGAGGAGAACTTTGGGAGTAGTTGGGGTTCTCCAATCTGTGTCGTTACCAAGAAGGACGGCAGTGTTCGGATCTGCGCTGACCTGCGCAAGGTCAATGCAGTGACCCTGATTCCTGCATATGGCATTCCTCGAATTGATACCATTCTTGACTCTCTTGCGGGTCATTCCATGTTTTGTGTACTCGATCTTAAGCAGTGCTATTACCAGATCGGAGTAGCGCCTGAGGACTGTGACAAGACTACCATAGTCACTCCATTTGGTTCATATAAGCACAGGCGGCTTCCACTAGGAATTAATGGCGCCCCGATGACATGCGCTCGACTTCTAGATCTAGTGCTCCGTGATGTGCCTCCAGATACTGCTGTAGCATACTTTGACGATATTTTGATAGGTGGAAAAGATTTTGACGATGTCATGATCAAACTCGAGTTGGTTTTACAGAGGCTACGTGCTGCAGGCTTGACAATCAATCTGAGCAAATGCTCCCTGTTCCAAAGGTCTGTGAAATTCCTTGGGCACGTCATTTCTGCCGACGGTGTCGCAGTCGACCCTGAGAAGGTCGAAAAAGTCCGCAACTGGCCAGTTCCTCGAACCGCCAAGCAACTCGCTTCATTTCTTGGCATGGCCAGCTTTATGCGTAAACATGTCAGAGATTTTGCTAGCATTGCAGCCCCATTGCAGCGCCTGCTGCACAAGGACGTTCGTTTCGCGTGGACAGACGAGGCTCAGAACTCGTTCGATAGGCTACGCACAGCCCTTTGCGAGGCTCCGGTCCTCACCGTGCCGGATTTCAGTCCCAATGCTGGTGTGTTCATCCTGGAGACTGACGCGTCACAGGAGTCAGCGGGTGCTGTCCTGAAGCAGCGGGTCGGCGATGATGAGAAAGTCATTGCGTATGGCAGTCACAAGTTTTCAAAGGCGCAATCAAATTACAGCGTGACTAAACGTGAGTTACTTGCAGTGGTTTTGTTTGTTGATAAATTCGCTCCGTATTTGCTTGGTCGGCAGTTTTTAATCCGGACTGATCATGCCAGCCTCCGATGGTTGCTGAATTTCAAAAATCCATCTGGTATATTGGCCCGGTGGTATGAGATTCTTGGCCAATTTCAGTTCGTCATCGAGCACCGTCCAGGGTCAGAGCACGTCGTGCCTGACGCTCTCAGCCGCAGACCTCCAGATGTGGACGACAAGGCCTGTCAGACTGAAGGTCTTTCCGCTCCCGTGTTTCGTGTCAATGCTTCTGACTGGTCAGTAAGCTACATTCGCGCTGAACAGGACCAGGATCCAGACTTGTCTGAGATCAGCAGACACCTGTCTGCAGGTCGCAAACCGAAGAAGAAGGAATTGTCTGCGGCAGCAGGTCGGTTTCTGTCGCAGTGGCACCGACTACGACTTGTGAATGGGGTACTTTTTCGTCTGTACCGAAGGAGACCGTTTGACTCTGATCAGCTCCAGATTGTGTTGCCCAGAGCTCTCATTTCCAGTGCCCTGGCGTCACTGCACGCTGGGCCTTCCGGTGGCCACTTCGCAGCTGACAAGCTGT